CCGTAACAGAGGCGACCAAGCTTGTTTCCTCTATCGAATCGAGGAAGCAGTGGGTAACAACAGCACGTGCCCGCTGTAGATTAGAATTTCTTCACCATCGTCGTTATCAACATCACTATCACCGTTGTCATCAATCATAATGGCCGCCATCATCATTATTAACGTTAATAAAAAAATTTTTTCGAGAAAACTGACACCGCAACAATAAATTGTAAAAAGTGGCTATTGCGAGTTAATTTTTCGTTGCCATTATCATTATTATTAATGATATCACCAAAAACCAACATCGTTATCGTTGACAGCAGCAACTTTTTTTTGAAATACAGGCTGTGCTGCACTAGGTTTGCCGGTACGACCGTAAATCTTTGCGCCAAACTCGAAGCAATCAGGTCTTCAACTGCACAAATGTGCAAAGGACACGGAGTCTCGGCCCCTTCTGGCATCGTCCGTGTGGCCGTTAACTTTCTCATAAGCACCACTCACCGAACGAACAAAAGTTATTTTCTTTCACTGCCATTACTATTATTAATTATTGTTATTATCATCATCATTATTGTTGTTATTATCACTTATTACTATTGTTTATTATTTATTATTGTCATCCACTCACTTATTATTATTATAATATTATTATTAATATTATTAATACTATTATTGTCATCATTATTATTATTATTAACAACAACAACATTACCAAAAACCGAAATCTTGTCGTTGACAGCTCAAATTTATATTTTGTCTGATACTTTCTTCTTTCACTGCCATATATGAACTTGTCTCGAATTGGTCCTCGAGATTCAGCGCAAGCAATGTTACTGGAATGCTTTCAACCTATACCTGTGAACTGCCGTTCTCAGAGAGTCCATAAAAATAGTATTCAATCATTTGTAACAGATTTTATTTGAGCTGTTTCATATGGACGAAGAAAAAAAACATTCACAACTTGTTCGAAAATTCTTTACAAGGAAAAAATAATGATGAAAAAATAATGATAAAATCACCAAGATCGCCCGGACTAATTATCACTGTGCTACTGATAAACAGCAACAAGGGAAATGAGGGAAATGCTACTGATTATGAATGGATGGATCGATGGCGAGGAAATCTCCTCACGAAGCAAATGAAAACGTGTTAGTTTACAGCACAAGGTGGAAAGTAAAGCAAGAAGATAGGTTAGAACATTTTACCTTTTTTGCAAGAATGTTAATACCAGTGAGGAAGAGTTTGAGGGCATATTCCAGAAATGGCAACTTGCGCCCCTAGATTTTCAAAATACCACAAACCTTGGCTCTTAAATTCATAGGTTTTTATTTGGCCTTGCCGCTCTACTACAAAATTTTGCAATGAAATTTATTACGCATAAAAAAGAGGATATGAAAAAACTCGCATTCCCAGTTTTTTTTAAAATTTCGTGAGTTTTAAAAAGACTGGGAATGAGGTGACAAAATCCTCCTTACTCTTTCCCCTCTTCCGGCTTTTCTCTCCCCCTCTGCACAAGATTAGTTTTCTAGAAATGTTGAAGTCTCCCAAGACTTTTCAACAAAAGATGAAACGGTTAAAGCAACCAACAAATATGACATATAAAAACTGT